CCGTAAACAATCACCATAAGGTACATAAACATCTTATTAATAACTTATAAACTTAAAGCTAGAGAACGAGGAGTGTTACAACAGCTTCAAACAATTAATACCTTCAAGCAATCTTTTCCAAATAGTCTAATTTAAGGATAGCACCGACATTTGGTATAACGGCGTTACAATTCTGATTTGAAATAGTTAGTTTTTAATTTTAAAAGCTTTGCTGTTTGATAGTTACCCCAAATAAAATTATAGCAAGTTTCTGACAAAATAAATATTTATTATGTGACCTTCCATAGAAAGTCATTTTAAATGTGATAACAGTCACTAATGTAACTTAACGATGGTCAATTCTCATCATATTACTTTGTTAGTTTTTTAAATAATTAGAAATGATACAAGACATTACACAAATAATTATTTAACTATGTGTGAATAGTAAATTGTTACATTTAAGATAATTATATAATATTTTAAAAAAGTTTACAAAAAGTCTATTGGTCTGCCAGTTCAAAGGTCATATATTATAAACGTATCTTACAAACAACTGATAGATATAATGTTCAACTACGACTTTGAACGCTGTAACCCAACCAGCATGATGAACTCTGGTATTGAGCTAATTGCTCTTCGGCAGCAACGTCAACAAACAAGGTATAGGTGAAGGGCTTTGACACATTCTTTTGGAAACTTTATCCCCCCCCCAATAAAAAAGAATAAAAAGATGTGATTTAGATTATTTTCAAAAATTATTTTAATATAATCTCACACAAATATCGCTACCAAATTCCATGCTACGCCAGGTAAAACATTCTGCATTCAACAGTTCATACAGATCTCCTTCAGAATAAATGTTCATTCTCTTGGCCCAAGACTCTCTATTGTCCTACCAGTTATTTTGAGGGACTTGAATGAAATAACGTTACGAAAATAATCATCATATGTCTACCTGCTCAACCATGCTCACTTTAAACAAGTTTCTATAAACAATAGTCAATCGCTTCCTTGTATATGCAGACACTGACGGTTTACACTCAATAAACATAAAACTAAAACTATTCTATTTGGTCCAAGCAAAAGAAAAGAAATACTTTGCCGACATCTTGATCTTTTTTAACGTCTAAACAGACCATGTTTCTGTACAATTATCTAACAAGGCTAAATATTTGGGTGCCACCTTCGATAACCATCTAACATGGAAGACTCACCTTGTAACACTCAACTTATACGTCACACGATGACTCAACTTTTTGTAATAGCTGACTGGAACCACTTGGGATTTGAATACATCTCTTCCCTATACTTATAAGGCCTTACTTACACTTCCTATAGTCATACCTCTTGGATATCTAGCCTCTTCTTTTTATGAAAGGCTTATGGCCTTCAAAATCAAACTACTTCATCCAAACAAGGAGTCATACATCATCATCAACTTTAGTATGTTCTATTAAATATATCACCAGCTGTTTCCAGACTCAAAACGACATCAATGCCATCTCGCTAAACTTTTTGATTTATCCTCTACGAAAACCACTTTTCAACGTGTATGAGGTGTCTATATCGGAGGGTGGTCCTGGACATGTTGCTTATCACATGAAAAAAAAAGTTGCCACCGCGTATATTCTATTCTCATATCTCAGTTACCTTCATCACTGATTAAATAAAGCTTTGAAGGCTTGCCACGCATCATTTCATACCATTCTGTTTACGTTTCGGAATCTTTTTCAGTTCTATATAATATCCATCTGCTAATCCATTATTCATAGCCAAGTTTTTACCTCATGGCCGAAGAGAGGGCGTAACCCTCTGTTGGCGCCCGCCATTTCTAGGGGCTGCAATGAAATTACAGAGGAAATAAAAGTAAGTATTTTATAGTTACGTACATAGGTAATAAGAAATATTCTGGAAACGTTACTATAGTGTTCTTAATAGTTATAGGTTACACTTTTTTCATAACACACAGTTCAAATGTCATTCTTTTTTATAGTTATAGATCAAATTCTAGTTAAAATTTTTATAATGTGTGCAGTTGTTGTTTTTAGACTTATGAAACCATTTGCATGTGATATATATTTTGAGCTATTCGTTTAATTTTATTTTCTGAAGCCCCCCTCATATGGCAAAACAATTTTCTTTTCTAATTATATTTGTAATTTCATAAGACTGGATAAAAAAAAAATCAAGATTATAATAATCAAGCTTTTTCTGTAGTTTTTAATTTGTTTTAATTCTAATGAATGTTCGTAAAGTGTTCTATTTTCAGTAATATCGGAAAAACGACTATTTAATATCCTGTTT